AGTGCTTAAAGCTTCAGATGAACAGCGATTGTTGTGACCATTACGTATCTGTCAAAGTGCAGACTGAAGAACGGGGGCTGTGGTACTTCTGTATAAAAAGGGAGACCACATGTAGTAGTGCAAAAATCGAGCCATTGACTTGTCGAGCCTCTCGGGAAGGATGTGTCGCGAAATAACTCATTCTACGATACAAAACAATTCGCGTGGCTTCAGATCAGGCCAAAGCACCCACTGGTCAAACCTTCGTCTCATGCCAGATTGCCAAGAAATCGTTCGCTCATCCAGTTTAAATGTGTTTCGTGCACACATGGGAAAAGGCCTATGATCGAATCCGGCGTAACTAACTATTAGCTTACCGGCAAACATATCGCATCGATGGCCATTAGTTCTGGGCCTTCCAATCACTATATGCTGAGAGCCGGTGCTGCGTCATAACAAACAGCGTTAAGTCGAAATTTGGCACTGGCCTCCGGCAACAATGTTTCCCGTTATGCATGGATAGAATAGCCAGGAGCTGCCATGGTGATGAGGGTGTCCGTATAGGAGATGTTAAGTCGAGAAGGTTGCTGTTTGCAGACGACCTTGTTTTGTTGGCATCTTCTAAAACTGTCCCACAGTGCTCCCTGGAAAGGTTTGCAGCCGAGAGCAACGTGTCTGGCATGAGTATGAATGTGAGGAATGCGAAAAGTCTGCCACTTTCTCGTTTTCCTCACCCTTGCGCTGTGCGGATAAACGGAAAAGCTGTGGCATGGGTGGTGCAGTTCCCGTATTACATAGAGATGTTTACTCCTGAGGTGAAATATAACGAAGAGGTCGACCGGCGGATTAAAATGACCAGCAGCGTTCTGGCTGAATTAGCTCAAACCGTTGTTACTAGGGCAAAACCGAGTTTCATGACTAAGCCCCTGTCTTGAAGTCGATATTCGAACTGACACTCAGCTATGGTCATAAGTCATGGACCATGGCTGAAAAACTTCGGTTCCAGGTGTCAACGGCTGAAATGGGCTTTCTGTGATGAATCGCTGGTCTCACACGTTTTTACATGGTCTGGGGTACAGGCGTGCAAAAGAGCCTTGGTGCACAACCGCTGCTTAAGAAATCACAGCTGCGATGGTTTGGGCACGTAATGCGAATGCCTTCAAAAAAGAAGGCGAAATAGCTAGTACTTTTTCGACCCAGGGAACAGCCAAGACTAACCTGAGGTGGGTGTGTTGATCGACTCTGCTGCAGAGTCTTGTCTTGTCGTGTGCTGAAGCGCAAACTCTGGTAGAGAATAGGAAACGCTGGAAGCACTGTTCTGACGCATCTCCCTCCATGACCTGAAAGGATGGGCGGTCATAGAGTTTGACTGTCCGGCTAGTGACCATTCTATTCAGTCTGAAGTAGTGCCTTATGAAAAGACCGTTGAAAGAACAAGAGAATCTGAGTAGACCATAAATCATATTCATCATACACGAGAACGTTCACTCTCTTATTTTTGTCATTCGTTTTCCTTTCTATTCTTTCCTATTCTGCTGCATCGCTCTTGCACTTTGTCACCGATTTATTTTAATGATATTTTTCAGTAGTGGAACAAAATTTACAGGACAATGGCTATCTTCTGCCATGAGGGCTAAGTACGGTTCTTCTTCTGGTCAGAATTTTTAAATGCATATTTCAGCCTTCTTCAGACGGCCTCGTGTCCTTCAGCATTGAAGGCGGCTTGCACTTTGCTTTTGGTAATAATGGCCAAAAGATATGTCTGATGTACTGGATTTTCTGGCGTTTTATGGATGTAGGTGGCGGTTCCTGTTTACCGATGAATTCTTCGATCTTCCTTTTCACTTGCATTTGGTGAGGCTTGAAGTACAGAGTAGCATCTTCACGTATAGCATCAATAAATACTGAATTCTTCGTCAGAAATTTGCAGCAATATCTGACAGTACTTTATTTAGAATGCTTGTGTGTCTTCTTATTTGCTGCATCACCTTCCTCATTTTAAAACTGCGCTCTTAGAAACAGATCCTGTTCTTCGCTTAAATGTTGTTTCCTTTCTATTGCGATTCGGGTCTTAAATTCAGCTGAAGATTTTGCGTCATTAATGCTTTAAGGTTTTTGTCACTTAGTGTTAACTGTTCTCGTCTTTGCCGGTATTTCTAGTATTAGTCTTTTCCGTTTTTAGGTGGTCATGAAAAAATTAAAACACATTCATAGAACTTATTAGGGTTTAGTCTTAGGAACTCAAAATGTCCCAAACGGTGGATATCATGTTCATGTCTGAAAAATCGGTTAGCCTCGAAGTACTCAGCAAGTCCTCCTGAGAAAGGAGGACATTTCTGACATTTGGAGAAAGGTAGATACTTCGGGTAGGCTTGAAACAAATCAACTCGTTGCTTCGAACGACGGGAAAGCAGATTCTATCGCACTGCATTTTCGAAACCTTAAGAATGAATCAATCTGGAGTCTGTGGGCTGCGTTCAGACATTCCGAACAATAGCCTCGGCAAACTTTCTTAGCCGTTGACTGCCTTACTTCATTAACAAGATCCTCGGCGATGATTTACTGCTTCTGGCAGGTCGGCATGTCGATATCTAACTTTCATTTTTTAAACCGTTTAAATTCCTCAGATCAGCTGTACAATACATTATCAACTTTATTCGTTGACCTTCCGTCAAATACGAAAATTTTCTTCAGACTAAACACAGCATAAATGGTTTATTTACAAAGAACGCCTGAAGACCCTCTGACTCTAAACTTACCGCCACTGCAAACGATCAACCGAGACGATTTCCGAAACTCGACCAATTCCTTACTTCAGACAGGGGGCAAAGCACCTGCACTGGTCAATCAACGGGTTGACCTCGCTGTTCCGCGTTATGTATAAATAAACCGTGTTTTATGTGTGTTTATGTTTTTATAACCACCAACATACGAGCGCAATGCTCAATCTTCGAAATGTTTCTGACTGAAGTATCGAATTATGTTGTTGATAGGAGCGACAGCACGAGTTGGCATGACAGGTTACTGAGCAGGGGATGAGAGCGACGTTTTGTTGAGTTTTGCTAACACATGTGTTAGACAACACGCGGTAGGACTCCCTTCAAGGCGAACACAAGACAACAAGGGAGGGGTCTGCGCCGGTGCCGCTTGGGCGTGGCACGCTTGGCGATTGCAGGTAGACATTGGTCAGCTGGCAATCAATCAGTTGTCACTGATGCTTGTTTACGGTGTGTTCAAGCAAGTAAAAGAAATATCTCGCCATCCGTCGGTGAGGACTGCGCTTGCTGATGGATGCACTAGGCGA